TATAATTGACTTCCTGTTATAGTTTGTGCCTAGATGCCCCTTAATGGGGGCTAGGCTTTTCAGAGATGGCTGAATCCAGAGTTTGTGATTGATTCAGGGTCCAATGCTGGGATTAAGGGAGTGAGTGCCATACCTGCCCTAGGCTGGGTGGCCTGCATACAGTGTAAGGGATGGAAAGGGGCTTGTTCTCTTTCCCTCCATCCCTCTCTGTCTGTCTCTGTCTCTCTGTCTGTTTCTGTGTCTGTCTGTCTGTCTGTCTGTCTGTCTGCCTCATTGTTTTTTCTGTCTTCTTTATCTGTCATGAATTGTTTCCTCTCTGTAATGCCCCCTGCCAACTGCCTTGGGCACAGCCAATTATGAATTATGAACTAAACCTTGTACAAATGGTGCCCTAAATGAACCTTTCCTCCTTTAACTTTGGGAGTTGGGCATTTTATTACAGCAACAAGAAAGGTAACTAAAATACTTTCCATTGCACCAAGAAATCAATTAACAAATTAATGTCAACATTCTAGACTGTCTAAATGTCTGTTGTTTAGAATCTCCTTTGAACTACTCTTTAATTCCTTATGAGTTCCCCTGTGAATTAATAAGTTAAGTAAAATCTTCAACATACAGTTTTTTTATTTATATATGATGATTTACACTGTTTAAAAAATTATCTTAACAAAAGCCATAAGTAGAACCACTAAGAAGAATATATGCAGTGTATTATTTGTTGAAACTGTACTTTCGATTTGATTTGAAACTGTCTCATTGCTTTATGTTTATCAATAAAACTTTGAAAAGAAAAAAAAAAGCCATAAGTAGTGCTATGAAATCCCAGTCAGCTGCATACAGACTTGAGTTTCTATCCATGTTTTTTCCTTTTTCATGGTATTTTAACTTAAATATTTTAAGTAATTATATCTCTTTTTTAAGTTTTTAAGTAATTATATCTTAATGTATTCTTTTTTTCCCCTGATACAGCATATAGACTAATGACAATGGTTTGCTTGACAATTTATTGTGTAGAATGCTCAACACTGAGCCAGGAACCTGTCACAACCAGAGGAGAGGAGGACTTTGCCCAGAGATGCTGGATCTGGTAATGAACTTAGTAACTGAAGAAATATGGGTTAGCAAGTGAGTGAGTCCTATAGAACTCTCCTCAGAAGTTTGTTTTTTAAAAACCAACTACAGGTAAAGTCTTCAAATGGCACCTGTAGGTTTTAGGCAGTCAAAGAGTCAGTCTAATTGCTATTTGTTTGTTCGTCTTCTCACTTGAATAGCCAGCATCCAAAGTCTACTAGATCCAGGGAACCTTCCAGCATTGAAGGTCGAACCTGTCATCTGGGTTTGGAAGAATCAGGTGGTCCCCTCCAGGTCCTGAACCTTCAGGCCATGTTCCAAGTGTACAGGCAGGCACAGCCAGTGTCCCCGACAGCCCAACCAGAGGCTTGCTGAGGCCCGAGCATGGCCGTTACCATCACTCAGCCTTTAGGATCTTCCCCAATTTCTAGTGATTTTTTTTTTTTTTTCCAGAACCAGGGATTGAACTCAGGTCCTTGTGCTTGCCAGGCAAGTGCTTATTCTACTGAGCCATCTCCCCAGCCATGTTCCCCAATTTCTGAGTGTCTTCCTCCAGCCTTCCAATTAATTCTTCAATTGCCCTTAACACCCTTTCTGTTTAAGATTTCACCCCAACACCCTGGCAGGTGCAACAACTTTGGGGAGATATAAGACTCTTCAGGCTAATATTAAGAATGTTTTTCAAATTGGCAATCTTGCTAAAAATATTGTCGTTACAGGGGGAAGGTAGGCCTGAGATGCTTCACAGCTGATAAGCAGCCAGTGATGTGGACGGTGGCCCATGGGCCACACCCTAGGGACTGAGGCCGACAGCACTAAAAACCTGTGGAGAAGCAGCTTGCAAGCAGGAAGAAGTACAAAAAGGAAACAGTGGAAAGAAGTCAGATTGTGAATGGTGTTAAATCCTGTATAAAGGACTTGGGCTTTAATCCTGAGACTGTCAATCCAGAGAAGTGAGATGGACAGAGTCCTGTCTTGAAAAGGTCTCTGAATGTTATGTAGACAGTGGAGTGGAAAAGAGGGATGGACAGGAGGCTGGCTAGGTATGGTGGGCAGGATGATTTGTCCCCGAGGATGTTCATGTCCTCATCCCCACATGGTACAAGTAAACGGGACTTTGTAGGGTTTTTTAATTAAAGACCTTCGTATGGGGAGAGTAGCCTGGACCAACATAATCCCATGCATCCTTCAAAGGAAAGGACTTTTCCCAGCTGATGAGAACCAGAAGTGACAATGGAAATATGTGAGAGCGGGAGATGGAATTATGTTGCCTTTGAAGAAAGATGAAGGGACACACGCCAAGGAGTGCAGGATGTGGACTCTCCTCCTGAGCCACCACTGGAACACACCCCACTGGATCCGAGCCCAGGGAGAGCTGGCAGGCTCCCGACCTGTGCAGTTGTAAGACAATCCATTTGTGTTGTTTTTAAGCGACCAAGATCATGATAACTTATTACAATGATAATAAGAAACCAAAATAGATATGGTGGCGCAGACCTGTAATTCCAGTGCTTTAGACAGCCAAGGCAGTAGAGCTGCAAGTGGAGCCCAGCCTGGACAACTTAGCAATACAATGAGATTCTCAAAAATAAATAAATAACGGTCGGCTATGCACCCAGTGCGAAGGCCACTGTGCACACAAAATGAGACTGACTCCATAGGGGAAGGAGCATATTTCAGAGAACAGCAACTCAGCAGGAAGAAACCTGGCATGAAAGATCAAGAAGGGCAAGAGGTGAAGAGACACAGTTCCCAACCCGATATATGTGGAGGTGGGAGGTGAGAGAGAGGAAATTTTTTCTTTTCTTTGTTTTTTTTGGATACATGGTCTTGCCCTGCAGTTCAGATTCATAGTGATCCTCCTGTCTCAGCCTTCGGAGTACTGGGATTATAAGCTTGTGCCAACACACCTGGTTCTGGGGCCACACTGCATGGTGTCAGCACAGCATGTAGTACAGGGGATCAAACTCAGGACCTTGGGCTTGCCAGGCAGGCCCTTATGCAGTCAAGCTATCTTCCAGGCCAAGAGGGGAAACTCTCAGATTTCCTCTCTTGGGCAAATGGGGTTATGAATCAAAAAGGCTGCCAGAAGAAGAAAACAGGATTGTGAGTGTGTAGGACACGTAAGAGTGACGACGTGTGAGCGTGTATGACTGTGACAGTGAGTGTGACCCTGTGTGACGGTGTGAGCACAGACAATGCGCCTATTACTCAGCTCCTTCTTCCAGTTCCAGTTGTACCCAGAAACCCGCTAATCTCATCGCTGCAGCCTCCCCCAGGAGAGCCAGCAAGCCACTGCCCAGCCAACAGTAACAGCTGCCCTGCTTGTCAGTGACAGCCGGGTTGCAATTAGCCAACCGCCGCCCAATCACAAACCAGGCCTCTGTGCATTTAGTCAGCACAAATAATTCACCAGGGTTTGAGCTCTCCCTGTTCCCTGCTAAGCTAAGAGAATTTTCAGCCCCTGCAAAGTGGAGGGTCAGCCCTTATAGCCTAGAGGCCCTGGTCTGACCTCGTCCCTGGCACAGGCACCTTGTGCTGGAGGTGGGAAGAGGCCAGAGAGGGAGGGTTGGCAGAGGGGGCCTGAGGGCTTAGTCAGGGCCAAGTCAACTGAGAACCAGGAGGTTCTGTGCTGCAACTTTTCAACTACGTATAGTGCACGCGGAGGCTCACGTACCCTGGGCAGGGTCTCCAGGGGAGAAATCACTCCTTCAGGGGTCCTGTGAGGAGCACCAAAATAAGGCTCAGTCAAGTAGTTCTGGGAAGCTTGGGAGGAAGAGGGAGGTGATCTGGAGGTGTCTGGTGTCATCATAAAGGCTGCTTGGGAAGCCTAAGACAATAATGACTTTCAAAGCCTGCTGTGTGGGGTGTGTGTGTGCATGTGTATGTATAGGGGAGGGGGTTGTAGGGTGTGTCACTGGGGACTGAACACAGGGATTTTGCACAGAGTTACATTTTTAGTCCTTTTTATTTTTTATTTTGAGACAGAATCTCAGTAAGTCATTAAACTGCCCAGGCTGGGTTGGAACTTGGGATCCTCCTGCCTCAGCTTCCTGAGTGCCGGGATTACAGGCATGAACCATCATGCCCAGTTTGAATTATTTCTTCACCTACTTCTGACTTGCTTTCTTTATGAAAAACATAGAAGGATCATTGCTGTCCACCCTAGAGCTCAGATCAAAACACTGAGGGCCTTGGAGGTTCAGAAGTTAGAGCCTCAATTTGACCTCAGTCCCTTTCTGCCCAAATCCACACACTTCGCCCCTTTTTCTGGGTCATATTCTACATGGGGAAGGTCCCCTTCTCTCAGCCCTCACTGCAGCATGGATTTGTCACCTAGAGGTTGTTATGGATCTCCTGCTAGAGGTGGCCAGCACCTCCAAGGACTGTACTTAGAGTCGCCATCACCCGTGCTCATTGGCCTAATTCTCTGACCAGGGAGAAGTCCCAAGCCCCTTCCCTATGCTCGGCATGGTGATGTGGACAAACAGCTCCTGCCCTCAAAGCTTCAACAGCAACAGGGCTGGAAGCACAGGATGTTGGAATCACTGACTAAAGTAGGGTCAGGACAAAACCCAGGTCTGTAGAGCTCTAGGACCTGTGCACCCATCCTCGAGGCCAAGCTGTCCCCAGGGACACACTTGCAGGTTTTCAGAGTGTCCTGCACACAGGCTTGTGGCAGGGCAGGACTCCCCCATTCCAGGTGCCTTCTCTCCCTGGGGGCCTCGGTGCTTTTCTCCCTGCAGCACTGAAGGCCTAGCAGGGGACCGATGCAGACAGGACAGGGCTCCCGAGAAGCCTTGTGGAAAGTCTGCCTGCTCCCAGTGTCCTCACCAAGGAGGGCACCCACCTTCTGCAGTGGTGCAGCCGGTGGCAACCTCCGCCCGCCCCCATCAGTCATCCCCTCCAAGAGGAACAGCTCTACTTACATATTCCTTAATATCCTTCGACTTCACAGCCTTGTAAGAGTAATATGCAGGGTAGAGGGTGCCAAATATAAGCCTAGAGGAGAGAGGAAAAAGCAGAAATGTGATTTTTGTTCATCCTGTTTGATGGAAAATGTCTCCCTGATGCCAGCAGCAGTTCTCCAAGCCACAGAAAAAGCTGCTGCGGGGCCGACTCATCTTCATGAGCACTCTGAATGCTTCCTGCTCATGCCTGGCTGACTGGCAATCCCCGTTTCCCAACGCCGCCCACTTCCTTCAAACAGTCTTTGGCATCACGGAGACCAAAACTGAGGTGATCCGGGCAGCCCAGCACTGCTGCGCAGCAGAGACCGAAATCAAAGGCCAGTGCTCCCTCCCTCCTGCTAGTGATCCTGCAAAAAGCCTGCCAGCTCAGGCTCAGCCTCAGCCTCCTGTGAGCAGAACCAACCTTTCAAATTGTAAATCTGGATAAGTCAACGCCCCCTCCCACCAACACATCCTTACCCTGCTTCTCACTGGTCTTAAAATGCAGAAATGAGGGTCAGGGAGATAGCTCAGCAGTCTAAACACCTGCCTGGCAAATGCAAGGACCCAGATTCAATCCCTGGTACCACATGCTGTGCCGGCCCCACTCCAGGCACGCTGTGAAGCCACGGAAATTGGATGTGGTAGTGCACACCTGTAATCTCAGCACAGGGGAGACTGAAACAGGAGTATCACTACGAGTCCAGGCTACCGAGTAAGACCCAGTACCAAAAAACAACAAACGAAACAAAACAAATAAAAAACTCCACAGTGCTCCACACTGTCAGTGACCAGTTGGACCCTCAGCCCTGACTCTAGGCTGGACCCTCAGCTACGCTTCTAAGAACTGGTGGGATCATAGCTCTGCCGGCCCTCTTTCTCTCCACTTTGTCTTTGCCTGTCCTGTTCTCTCCTGGAATCTCCTCTCCCCTTTATTCGTTTAGTTTGCACTTGTTCAGCCATCAGGTGGCATCTCCAGAATGACTTCTTTACTTTAGAAGCCTTCTCTCACCTCCCAGACTAGGTCAACCCTCCCCACTACTCTCTCAAAGTGCAATGTACATTTTATCAGGTGTGCTTATAACAGACTGTAAGTGCAGAGAACGGACCTACTTTGCTCAACGTGTCCTCCCAGCACCCATCACATAGTAGGCCATCAAGAGATATTTTTAAATAAACGAATGGATAGAATGTGCCCAGGAGGGCATCATCCTTTTGCCTGACTCATGAGGGCACTGAGTTGTCCAGCTGTCAGCTCAGTTGCAAGCCAGTTCATGCAGGAGCACCCTGGCCCAGGCCTCCCAGGCACCTGCATCCCCTGAGTCAAGCCCACAGAGCTCCTCTGGGCTCGCAGCAAGGAAGCCCAAAGTCAAGGCTGTTAGAAGTCAAACAGAGACTCCTCACACATGCAATTTTACTAAGAACTGGGGACACCTTTGCCATGAACACTGTGGCCAGGAACACCAGCTTGCCCTGCTGAAGAAAATACCTCAGCGTTACCATTTAGGGAGGAATGACTTAGACTGGCTCATGGTTTTGGAGGTCTAAGTCCATGGCAAGCTGGTTCTAAGACAGAAACTGCCTGGCAGAAAGACACAGTAAAGGGAGGCTATTCACGCAGAGAGGAAGGGGCCAGGGAGCAGACAGAGCCCCCAAATCATGCTCTCCTCACCCCCCAAAACATACCCAGAAGTGTGCTCTTGTAATTTCCTGTGTGTCTCTTAAATCAATCAAGTTGACATTCCAAATTAACCAAGAAAACAAAGTTAACCATATCAAGTCAGTTTTGACACAGGAGAAAGGAATGTTCAGACTCCTGGCTTCCACCAACCTATCTAAGCACCTTACAGGCCTTATCCCAGGCAGACTGCCTTGGCTGAGGGAACCCTGTACACAGATGGGACTGCAGTGCTCAGAGCCACTTGCCTGTCTAACTCATGACCATGAAAGGGGAAAGCGAGAGCCAAGTTGGCCTTTTCCAAGCCTGGCTTTCTGCCCCTATCATCCACCGCCTTAGAAAGTAAGGCTGTTTTCTAGAAAGACAGAGGTGATAGAGATAAGCCAGCAAAGGGGACAATGAAAGGCTGGAAGGAAAGGGGGAAGTAGGATGGGGGTGGGAGGGAGAAAATTTAAGAAAGAGGGGTGGACAGCAGTGCCAAAGGCAGCACACAGGCCAGGATGCATGGCCCAAGGGTGTTCTTGGGTTGTCACCAGACTCTGGTGAGAGAGATCTCTAAGCTACGCCAGCCTGCCGCACTCTGAACATCTTTGGAACATCTTCGGATCAGGCTCCTCTCCATTTCACAGAAGCACAGATCCTTGCACCTTTCATTTGGATGCTCAGCCCTGTGTCTGCCCCTCCCACAAGCTCCACAAAGCCAGGCTGGTGTCTGCCTCATTCTTAGGAAGTGCTTGCTAAGTGCGAGTTCACTGCATAAAGTTGCAGAGCATGGAGACATGAAGTAAGCACCATCCAGGGACGCTCATGACCTTGGGACTGAGGAGGTCTCTGCAGCTGGGTGGACGCCAGACAGCACCAGGCTGAATCAGCAAAGCCTCAGCAACAAAGCCACCAACTCCAGGGAAATAAACACACCACTCCTTGGGCACAGATGCCCTAGTTATTACCCGCATCCTCAGGCTGCTTTGCAGCCTCCACTGCCTGGAGGTAGTGTGTAAGCAGCAGCAGAGGAATCCAGCAGCCAACTGATTGGTCCTCTGTGAACCCTAACAGGCCAAGACACTTTCTGAGGTCACAGAGCTGGAGCGCTTCAGGGCATCCAGACAGGGAAGCTTGGGCTCAATCTGCGGGACTGGTTCCTAGCACCCCCACTCCCTCCAGCCTGGGGCCTATTTAAAAACACTGGCCAGCACATACCTAGAATCCAGTACTCTGGAAGGCTGAGGAAGAAGGATCACAAGTACTAAGCTCAGTCTGGGCAAAGAGTACTACTTTATACAAAGAGTACTACTAATAAAGTCTTTAAATTATACTATTGTTAGTGAGTGCTCATTAGTGCCAACTACTGTTAAAAAAAAAAAAAAAAAGGAGGCTGGCCACACTTTGCACTAAGCCTCTTAATCCTCTTCCATCATCTTCAATAAGAATTCTTACTGCCCTCTTTTACAGCCTGGGACAATAACAGTGTAAGGGCATTACTTGCCCAAGGGGATGCCACAGCTGGGAACCTGGCTGACTGTGGACCTGCCCGGCCACCTGCAGACACAGCCTGCCTTCTTGGTCCTCCCAGGGCTGCCTGCCTGAGGCTGTCTCTCTAGGATACCACAGAGGGCTGGTGCTTAGTGGCGCCTGTGCCCAGAACAGCCCTCGCCCAAGTCAGTGCTCGGTAAATGTCTGTTCAGTAAATAAAAGATCAGAAGACTGCAACTTCTCTCCAAACCTGCTAGACCCTCATAACTCTCCAGAGCCAAGGAGGGAAGTCGTAGAATAGTTAGGAGGGCAGAAAGGTTAGTGAATGCGGCAGGGCCACTGTCACAGTGGTGGAAGGCAGGATGTCGTCTCCGGGCTCAGCCTCCCGGGGCGTCGTGCAGTCCCTGAGCTCTGCACTCCCACCCCCATCATGTTTTATGCTCATGTTGTCCGTCACACAGCCAGCCTTGACTGTCTAGGCCCAGATGTCCCCCTTAACAATGCATGGGACCAAACTGACTGTGTCCAGCTCCTGTTTTAAATATATGCAATGATTCCAACTTGCTTCAAAGGCTGCAAGGCCCTTGTGTTTGGGGAAGACTGGTTTAGTCAAGGACACTTTCAACTCTACCTACTCTTCTTAAGCCCCCTCTCTCCTAGAATGTTCCTGTATAAATCTGCCTGACACAGTATCACATAATTCCTGGACTCCATAATTCCTGTATTCCATGTAGCAAATCATGTAATTACTTGCTCTCAGCTTTGTACTTCTTGCTTGCAAACCATATTTAAGCTGAACTCTGGGCTGGTGATTTGAACCTCTGGGTTTCCCATAATAAAAGTTGCCTTCTAACTTCTCAGTGCAAAGAGGCTTCCATTGGGATTGATGTTGGTTTTTCTGTTACAGTCCATTTCCTGAACATCACCTCCCACCCTGCTGACCAGCTCCATTATCCACCAGCCCTGAGCCTCCTGTCTCTGTCTTTTATTCTTCCTGACCCAAGTTAGAGGCCTTCATCCAGCCTCACTACTTGGCTCAGTTACTGTTCTCTTGTTGCTGGGACAAAATACCTGACACCCAAAATGAAGGAAGGAAAGATTTATTTAGCTCATAGTCAAAGGAGGTTTCAGTTCATACTCAGATGGCTCCAAGGCAGGGCAGCACAGGGCAGAGAGCAGCCATTCAAGGTGGTGGCAAAGAACAAGAGAGCAAAGGGGGTGGCAGCAGCACAGGCATCTAGCCAGCCTCTGTCCTCTCCTTACACTGTAATGCAAATTACCTGCACCAGGGCAGGTGCAGCATCCACACCCACAGTAATCACAAACTCCAGAACCCATCCTGTAACTGCAAGAGGCTTTGGGGGGATGCCTAGACACAACCATAACACTACCCAACCTTTTTCCCAGCTGCAGTACCCAGAAGGGATCAGAGAGCTCACATGAATACCATGCTCCAGTGCAGTGGATCCCAACAGGGGCAGCTCACCTTCCTGGGGACTCTGGGTAGTGTATGGAGATGCTCTGGTTGTCATGACCAAGAGGCTGCTGTGCACATCCAGTCGGTAGAGGCCAGGGATGCTGCTAAACTGCCCACAATGCATAGGAAACACCCTGACAACAAGGAATTATCTTGCCCCAAAAGTCCACAGTGACACTCTGCAGAAATGCTGGTCTAGTATGGTTTTTGTTTGTTTTGTCTTTTTGAAACAGGATCTCACTATATTATATAATTCAGACTGGTCTTGAGCTCACTTTGTAGTCCAGGCTAGACTCAAACTCAAAATGATCCTCCTGCCTCAGCCTCCAAAGTGCTGGGATCACAGGAGTGTGCCTCCACACCCGGCCCTAGTATGGATTTCTGGTCCTCAGGTCAGGGACATATCTCTTGACATTTGGCCTTA